TATATATATAGGGTATTTACTGTATTTATCTAACAATCCAACAGAGCAGGTTTTAAACAGTTAAAGGTATAATTTAAAACAAACATCCTATTCAATCCATTTAAATGATGTTTTGAGGGATAATCTCAGCTACAACCGGAACACATTAGATCAATATCTGTTTAAATTATTATTATTAAGAGTGCTTTATGGTGAACTGGCTGCGGCGGCCATCTTGAATCAGGTTATGTCCTGCATATAAAACTTTTATCAGTTGTTTAAGACATATGCTGCTAACAGACACAAATAAAACAGTTTCGCAGTATACTGGGCAATAATAAGTGATACAGATCGGCAACTCAGTTAAGTCAATAAAAACAAGTGTTTTTATTTAGTTAAACATACTATTTGTTATAGTTAATTTACAGAAAAGAGCAGAAAACATGTAAACACACGTGATAAACTCGTTTAATTTAACATAAAATTACCCAAATGTGACCAAAGAGTGAGTGACATAAAGTAAAATGACTTACAGATGGAGTTTGGGTCATGTTTTCAGCCCGCTGTTTGTTCAGATCTCAGACAAATCAAAGTCACGTCACGTATCGCGAGAGTTGCTGCTTCCGGTTCATGCCTTCCCATCCCCGTCCACCAGAGGGCGCACGAATCAACCTGCAGCAAAATGGATGAACTGACTTGTTCAAAATAAGAAGCCAATAAAATAAGAAGAACAATAAAAATTCTTATTATTTTTATGTGTGTTTTTATTTGATTGAACGTCTTTTTGTACGTGAATCCATATTTAATTCCACATTTTTAGTAATTTTGATTTAAGGGTTTAATCTGTGTTTTCTGATRTCATCTCTCAGTTTATTTCCTGTCCTTTCTCAGTCAGCAGTCACAGGATGATGAAGGCAGCATGTCTCTGCTTTATTCTCTGTAAGTCACAGTTTTAATTTYAATTTTGAAGCTGGAACATAAATCAGATTAAATGTTTATCCTTCTTATGTTACACATATGAAGTACTTTATCTGTTTTATTTATTCAAACATGCTTTAAAATGTTAATAAGTCTAAATTGTTGAGTTGGCAGAGTTGTTCAGTTTGATAATATAATAATATTTGTCTAACTTTCAGTTAAAGACTTACTTTATCTATTCTTATTTTCTGCAAACATTACTTTCTTGCATACATTCACATTACATAAAACCTTTTAAATTAATCTCATACATCCAAACTAAACAGTGTTTTTAATCAATTCCTGCAGGGTGAAGTTTAATAAATGTCTGATAATATAAAAAATATTTATGATCAATTCTGTTTCTGTTTCATTTGATCTCAGTGATGATCGTTGTGGATCGGCACCAAGCTGCAGGTATGAGCTGTCAATCAAACAGAACTTAAAAGTTGTACAAATTGTTTTAAAGTACTTTAATATTTGTCCAGCAGCAACACATACATACAGACCCAATACCCTGGTAAGTACCAGGTATGTACCAGAAGTTTACCAGGTACAGACTTGATTAATAATCAGCAAGTCTGTGATTAATAAACACACATCAGGTAGTACTTTCAGGTGTACAGGTTCCCAATATACATGCACTCAAAAACTGATGTACTGGACTTACTTAATCATTTACTTAACATAAATGCAAAGTACTTTACATTTAAATGTAAAGTAAATGTGTTAAATACTTTACATTTAAATATACAGTAGATGTGTTAAGTACTTAACATTTAAATGTACAGTAGATGTGTTAAATACTTAACATTTAAATGTGCAGTAGATGATTTAAGTACTTTATATTTAAATGTAAAGTAGATGTGTAAGTACTTAACATTTGAATGTACAGTAAAAGTGTTAAATACTTTATATTTAAATATATAATACTTTACATTTAAATATACAGTAGATGCTTTAAGGACTTTACATTTAAATGTACAGTAGATGAGTTAAGTACTTTACATTTAAATGAACAGTAGATGTTAAATACTTTACATTCAAATGTAAATGCCTAAAGTACTTCACGTTTAAATATAAAGTAAATGTATACCTCATACTCAATTCAGCTGAGTGGAACCAGCTGACATAATTTAAGTAAATCCACTACCTCAGTTTTTTGAGTACTAGTAGATTGGGTATTTAGCTTAAATACATTTGGTAAGTAACAGGTATGCACTCAGTACATACCTGGTATGTACCCTGGTAAGTACCAGCAACTTGTCATGTATCATAGGTTGCTGGTACATGCTGGTACATACCATGTATCAGGGCTGTCCTGTGTATTTCTAGTAATACCAGTATTAATTGTTGTGTAGTGTAGAGTATTTTACATCTAAATATTTGTCTGTTTTGACCCGGTTCTTCAGTCTTCGTGTCCATTGCTCCTGAAAGATCTCAGTTCTTTAAATACGATCATTTTTCTGTGAGCTGTGAGGAAGAGGAAGAGGAAGAGGAGGCCCCCGGCTGGAGCCTGATGCAGAAGATGAAGGACGGAGAGGTTTGACCCGTTTATATTTCTGACTGAACTCTGTCGGATCAGAATCTTATCAGAACCGGTCTGCTTGTGTCCCACACACCACAGGTGAAACCACTCCCCACTCCCTTTTCCGTCTCTGCGGCCTTCCCTCAGGAACACAGTGGAGTGTACTGGTGTCAGAGTGGACCGGGAGACAACAGCAGCCTCGTCTTCGTCACTGTCTCCGGTACCAGCCGGCCCAAACCCAGACACAGATCTCTGTCTCCAGTAATAAACACTAACACCTTCAGAAGTTTTTATTTCTTACGTGTTTCTCTGTTTGTCTTCCTGTTGTTCAGCCGGTTCTGTGATTCTGGACAGTCCAGTTCTGCCTGCGACAGAAGGAGACAACGTGACTCTGAGCTGCAGATGTAAAGCTTCAGCTGCAGCAGATGAGAGCTGTGCCCAGGCAGAGTTCTACAG